AAGGATTGTCAAGCATTGGAACAGGCTGCCCAGGGAAGGGATTGAGTGCCCATCCCTGGGGGTATTTAGAAGACGTGTAGACGTGGTGCTTAGGGACATGGTTTAGTGGTGGACTTGGCAGTGCTAGGTTAATGGTTGGACTTGATGATCTTAAAGGTCTTTTCCAACCTAAATGTTTCTATGATTCTATGATTATGCAATCCACATTTCATCTTTTTACCAGTTTAACAGTCTAGTAGTGTCAAGTTTAAATCGAATCTTGTAACTTGTCTATATGCTGGATAGGTCAAAGTTTGGAAGGCTTTGAAGTTCTATACTGTTTTCATATGAGTCCATTTTAAATGTTCTCTTTTTCAAAAGTGAAAAAGTCTCCTGTTGTTTCCCTACGAAAATCTCGAGCAATTACTACGGACATAAAAAAAATTATGATTTTTTTTTTTTTAAGAGCAGACCAAGGAAAAATAGCAGTAATTGTCTAATGAAATTATATTTTGCAATTGTCAAGGACAAGCTGTTCCATATCAGCTACTCAAGCAAAACAAATAGCAAAATATTCTTTGTTTGATAATAATGTTGTATTGCTTTTCAACTCGGATATGAATTCAAAGGCTTATTCTTTAATTTGTTGACACATGAAAATTCTGGAGTGCTACAGTCATTTAGCAACTTTCAGCATTAGTTGAAATGCAAAATTTTCCATACCGAGTATCGATGCATGCCTAAGTATGACAAAGCATTTCTTGTTTTTTCAGAGGACAAAATCTAGGTCATAAACATTGATTCACTCAACACTTATCTAAAATTCAGATTGAGCACTTCTTAAAGCCTTTTGCTACTGATCACATCTATGATAGATGCTTGCCCAGAGACAACAAAACTGATCTCAAATTGGACATAATTCAGCCATCAGAGGGCAGCATCTTCTAGCTACACCCCAGATTAATTCAAACTAAAATCTCTGCCACCACGAGGCACCAGAATCTGAAGACAGGTTGGAATGACTTCAGTGCCACGAAAACATTAAAGAAATGATGTAGGGCAAATGGTAAGGTAAACCAGCATTATGCATATTTGATCCTTATGGAATAACTATCAAGGAAATTGATGGTGGTAAAACCCACTTTTCACTGAAAATAGTTAAGCTGAGTATTTATGATCACCTGTAACATTTTGGAGATGAAAACTGCTATAAAGAGCTTTACATACAAAATCTGCTACAGTTTCTCAAGCTTTCCAAGAATTAATGAAGTATTATCCCCATTTTGTAGACTGGACAGCTTTCCATTCTGACAAAAAAAAAATATAAAAAAGGGAAATGGATTCTAAATCCTATTATTTTGCTGAAAAACCCGCTTAAATACCTCTAAAAAAATAAATACCTTTAAAAAAAAAGGTTTGTCTTCCTCAAGGCATCAGTTGTCTTTATTCGTGTAGCTCTTGCAAAACTAGATGTCTAGATCCATGATGGAAATGGCAGATAACAGCTTCAAGAATTAAAAACTGCATTGCCGTCATTCTCATTAATTTCACAGGAAATCAAACTAAGGGGTCAGTGTGTTCCTCTAAAAAATTAGTAGTTTTACAGTGAACCCTTTTCATTCCATACTGAGGACAGCCAACAGCTCCTATTTCATATATAGTTATTTAACAGAACCTGTTTGTTAACATTTTGGTATTCTTAAAGTCCTAATTTTTTTTCAGTCTGACACACCAGAGATACTCAGTTTGGTCCTCCATGATTTCTCTAACACATTGGAGAGACAGATGGAATGGAAAGCATCCTTGTTAAAAGTCAGAAACTTTTCCCCATTAAGTGAAGATTACTTGTCTCAAAAATTCAAGTTATGACTTGAACAGGTCTTATTACAAACAGACTTATTAGCCCCTCACCCCAACCTTAAGCTTTAACATACACTGGAGCTTCTTTCTACTCATTCACCAACTTCAATTCTAGTTAAAATTCTGTCTCCAGCCACAAACCGGCAATCTGAACGAAAATAAAATTTAAAATTTAAATGAAACCACATTCTAAAGACATCACTATACATTAGAAACTTGGATCATTATTCAAGGCCATTGTGAAATGGACATTATTCCACACAAAGCAAAAAAGATAGCTCAAGGCCAATTCTTTTTCTGTTTGCTACCGTTATGTAGAACTGCAGTTGAAAGCATACCGTTTATGCTATCAGTGTCACCCTTATTTAAGCAACAAGTGGCCTCTATAGTCAAGAATAAAATATTGTTAATTACTAATGTAATTAGTACTTCCCTCTACCCAATTCCCACAATGAGATCAGTTTTAGGGTTTATATACTTGTTCACAACTGAAAAATTGTACAGCTATTCAAATTTCTCCTGTTTGGTTGCAAGTTTTACAGTCCAATTTAAAAAAAAAAAATCTAATTGCATCAAAGAGCCTTCTCAGTTCTCATTACACAAGCATATATAATAAAATAAAAGTCAGAGTGTGCAAGTTGCTCTCTGTACTGGAAGTTCAAACTTGATCAAACTACTTATGTCGAGTACTTCATGAAACACCACATTAACAATCCCTAATTATATTTAATGAAGGATTAAAGGCAATGAGGAAACGTTTAACCAATTTTGGCAAGTGTAAGTCAAACTAACGTAAAGTTATCAAATTTTTGAAAAAAATGAAAAGCCCTCAACCCCCATATTTTGAAATTTGCAGAAAACACATTTTCTGAACTTGGTTCTATTTTAAGCTCTGCTCTGCCATCCATCTATACGCAAAACCCCTGATTTCCAGCTCTTCAAAATACCTCCTGTGATAGCATCTCCGTTACTTCCTATCTAATAAAATATTAAAGAGTTTTATATTTTACTGCTAGACCTGCTTGTCTGTAATCCAGCCTGGAAGCAATGTCCCTACACTTCTGTCAGACAAAAATTGCTATCGGCACAAGATTCAATATCATTCACACATAATTTTAAAGCTTCATGAGTAAGAACTGGAACTCAATATTAGAACTGGGAGATGTTTAATTTCATGAGAACAGAAGCTTTAAGCACCAAGTTAGTTGGATTTCTATGACTTACTCTTAGGTAAAGCTTCTCTCTCTCTCTTCAATTAAAGATTGTTTAAAGTTTAAAAGTTCCCTGGAGTATTTTTGAAGAATTTTAAATAAAATACTATTACGAGAATTTGTGAACAAAAATGCAGAAGACAGGGCAATTTCAAGAACAGATTTTAAGAGGAAAAAGAACTATGATTGATGACACCTTCTTTCTGCTAGGATAGAGAAATTTCTAACACCCAAAAAGGGTTTCTGGCCATTTTTATTTATTAAGTTATTAATATAGTTTGATTTATTAATAATCACTCAAATGTTAATGAAAGAGAACCTTTAATAAATCTATTCTGAGCAGTCATCCAGGCACTTCGTAGAGAACAATGAATTATATATTTATGTAACACAGACCAAAAACTAAAGAATCTAACCAGGATACAAGTCTAAGTATTATTTGGTAGAAAGCCTAGCAAAAAAAAAAAAAAAAAAATTACATAGCACTTACCCTCTTGTTTCCTCTTCTTGCCCTTTTCCTCTTTGTATTTTAATCCACTGTTCCAATTGCAGCATTGAATTAGTTCTCTGCATAACTCGTTCAGACTCCATATGTGACTGAACCACATTGTGCTGACCTCCATCTCCAGTGTCTGCCAGGACAACACCAACAGCTTTATTCTCAGACCCATTTAAATGAACTGGTCTGAAGTGTCCAGCCTGAATTGTGGTTATGGGTAAAGTCCTGTATTCGGATCCCAAAGGATTTAGCTTTACACTGTTAATTTTTGTTAATGGTTTATCTTGCCCAACTTTCTGGAATCCATATTTTTCGGCTTCCAAAGCTTTCTTCTCCTCGTTTTTGTTCACTTCTTTGTTTTTCTGGTTATTTTGTGCCTCTGGCTTAATTAGCACCCGATGGTTTGAGATATTATTTGCCTCTCGAGGTGGTGTATGTTCAGTGGTTAACTTCTCTACTCTGGAAAGGAATATATGACAAGCTATAATATCAACAAAACATTCATTAAAAAATAGTAATAAAAAATGAAAAGTGAATATATTTGTGTTTATCAGGGTTCTTTCAGTGAATCCCTGTCCAGGTATTTTACACCAATATCTTGTCTTTGAGATAAAAATCCACGACATAGTTTTACAATAATCCAGGACAGGCTGTTTTTTTTGTTGTTGTGGTTTTGGTTTTTTTTGTGTGTGTGGTTTTTTTGTTTGGTTGTTTGGTTTTTTTTGCTTTGTTTTGTTTTTTTGGCGTGTGTTTGTTTTGATTTGGGGATGGTGGTGGAGTTTGATTTGTGGGGGTTTTTTTTGTTTGTTTGTTTGGGGTTTGGGGGTTTTATTTTTTTTATTGGAGAGCGTGTTTTTTCTTCCATGCTTCTCTACCTCTTTGCTATTTTAAAATAATTTATAACATGGGGTAATTTTTTTAAGCCAACTTCAAATTAACCCCCTAGAAAAAATGTGCACAAGAGGAAATAAAGCCAGAGTCTGAAAAAGTGGATGTTCAGTTCCTGTAGGCCTGGACTTTCAAACAGTAAAAATACTCAGTGGCTCTCCAAGAGCTAAAGCTTCTAGATGTCAACAGCCTGAAATTCAGATGATTTTTAAAGCCATCTTTAAAAATGGTAGCAGATTACATTGCTGACCAGCTTGTGATTCACAATACTGCTGAATTTAACGTATAATGAGCTCCTTTAAAGAAAGCAAACAACTTTTCATGGTCACTGGCATCAATTAGGTTTCTCTGGTATGTTATCACTTTGGCTGGCATACATTTTGTGGCAAATAACTGTGGTCTCCCTAATTTTAAGGGGGAAAATAGCTGCTGACTTAGGGAACTGTACCACAAAAATAATGATATTTTTAGAACAGTTACTGCTTTACAGTACTTACACAAGTACTCAATGTATGCAGTTCTATTAGCTATCTTCTTTTTAAAATTTCAGAATGTCAAGAAGCTGTATCTTTTTCCGTACTGCGACATGAACTGAACATCCAGCTCAGACAGTGACGGCTTTTTTCCAGTTTACTAGAAAAAACCCACAAAAACCTTAAAATGTTTTGATCAACATTTTTTGGTATGGGAGGAAAGAAGAGGAAGAAATATAATTCCTTTAGATTACATCTCTGCATAAAACCAAACCAAGAACAAAACTTTATTTTAAGATGATGTCAAATTAACCTTTCACAGTTTTGCATCTTTTTTGCAAATGCATTATTCATCTTTATAACTGTATCCAGTTCAAGTGCCTAATCCGTGTGTAAAAAGGCCATCACATACACAACTGACCAAGAGCACAAGTATGACTGCTCCTCTGAAAAATGCTCTAGTTCCAAGCAGAGTAACTACATACATAGCTACAATTATTTTTGCTTACCCCATCTTTAACATGAGGCTTAATGTGCAACAAGTCTACACTTCCCCAACGGATTATTTAAGCCATGAATTCCAAACAAGCCAACAACTATCTGGGACAGAACCCCAGCAAATACATAAAGGACTGAAAACCGTATGGTCCTTATAAAATACTACCTACTGCTAATAATATTGGACACTCAATTTTAAATGCACCTCCCATTACCATCCTACTCTTGCTCTGAATTCTCCATGACACGAAAGGAATCAAGAGAATCCTGCCTTGACAGGTACACCATTTCAAATGTTTCAGTCAGAAATAGCAAGACATCAACGTCCTCTGCATACTGAACATGAGTCAGAATGAAATGCTCATGCAGTTTGCATGTTAACAAAGGGTGCGATTTTTCTTCCCCGTGCCTCTTCCTGACAGAGCTGTGATGATCCCAATCTCTGCTTGATACTTCATAATGTTATAAAAGTCCTCTAAAATTCACTCTATTAATAAGTAGCTCAAAATAGTCCTTTTCTTTCAGTGATTATTCCTGAGCTGCCAACGTGAAAGCATACACACATGTCAAACGTATTACAAATGAAAACATTCATAGCAATAATCTAACATAAATATCTCTTTGGCTATATAAGTCAGCATTATTTTTAAACACAGTGGGTTTTTTCTCATACATCACCATTAAATGCAGAGGTTACATACATCTGATGTTTTCTGCTAGCAGAAAGGAGAGGGTAATATTTCTGCCAACGAAAACTTTTACAGAAAAAAACCTCAATGTAGAATGAGCTTTTATGTAAACTTTTGTAGGGGAGGACACATGTGGTGGAACTGCTTTTCTGTAATTTCCAAGTATCAGCAAAGAAATGCTATGCTAATCTCCTACTGCAATTTAAAAGTGAGGTGTTTTCTTTGTATTTTTTTCCCCAAAAACTTTAAACTGTTCCCAAGACCAAACATTTCTGCCTAGGTTCCTTCTCAAGATTATGGAAAAAAACTGGATCACCTCCTCCCTCCCACCTCAAAACTGTACTACCCAGTGTTCTACCACAAACTAAAGGAATTCCCCACACAGCAAAGTGAATGAAAAACTCCATTTCTCACAATTATCAAGACAAAAAATGTGTGTTAAAATGTCCGTTTTCAGCAAGCGCTCAAGAGCTTACAAATAAATGTAAGGACTACCTTGCAAATAATCATAAACACAGGCATTAATACATGCAACATGCCTTAACAGTACCACCTACCCCCTTATATAGCACTTTATATCAATCTTTCTCAAGGTGCTTTACAGCAGAGAAGCAGTTGCCATTTTACAGATGGAAAATCTGTGGTGCAGAGGGAGAGTGGCATCTCTAGGGACATTCATCAGATAGGTGGCAAAGCCAAGACTTGGCACAGCGTTCGATTCACCCTATCATAGTACTTTCCACTGAGATCTTAATTAAAAAACAAACCCTAAAAATCACAGAATTGTTTTTCCAAGCAATCTCTATGCTGTATCACTTGCTACTATGGTTATACACAGCAGAGCCAAGCATTTATATTTGACATTCTTTGCGATGGTGTAGAGGCTGAATGACTGACATTCAAATAGACTTTTGGGCTCTCCTTTAACTTGGTGCATCAAATCAGTCAACTCGATGTGAACAAGAGATCTCTTTCCACAGCAAAGGATCCAAATGGGAAAGAATTATCAGAAACGAATAGGTAAATGTAAGAAACATAAATCCATATTTATATATTTGGCTCCGTATTTATATCTGTCTCTCAAAGATGTTCAACAAGACCTGCAAGGTATTTTGAGGAGGGGAGAGGGAGAAGACAAAAGAGAATGAGCATTGAACATATGTATTTCAGCATATACTGAATGCAATTTGGAGGTTTCTACAACAAAACAGGAATATGTATGGAACAGTAATACAGGAAAAGTACTATTTTCTGCTTTTTTATATAAGTAAATAATTCTGAAAGGAGAAGGAGTGTAATCAAGCATCAGACAGACATGAAGACTGATTTAACAAAACCAGGCAGAGGCATTTGAAAAGAAAAAGCCATCTTTTCCAAACACAGTGACGTCGGTAAACCCCCACTGTGGATGTTGTTATGCTAACAAGTGCTTTTTTGGCAGCTTAGCTTATGCTATTCAGGGAGAGTAACTACACTAGGAGAAGAAAAAAAAAACAACAAACCACTCTTTTCTTAGTACATGCTACATCACTCAGAAGAAACAAAAGCTCTGGCACACACAGCCGACAGTGAAAGGATAGAAAAATGATGCTCTTAAATATGGGAGAGTAGATGAATCAGCATTTAGGGTAAAAATGATAAATCGTTATGTTGGTGGACATTAGCATCTACAAACACAAGCAAGCAATCAGTACTCATAGATAAAACTTTACTGTGGTCTGCAGTGATACAACATGGAATGAGTAAGATGTTTTGCTAATCCAGAGAGGTTGTTTGAGATTATATTTTGAGTCATAAGCTTAAACAGTTTCTCACTGACTAAAGTATTGTATTTAATTATTTTGATTATTAAACTTGAATTTACTATCTAGGTTAAATTAAAACAAAAGTGTTTAGAAAGGAGTAATTGCAGTTAAGTCAATAGGACCAAATAATATTTGTCCTTCCCAGCAGTTATACATCAAAAGGGAGTTTTTCTGCTGTGACTGCAGATCAGTTCTAAAAGAAATGGCTATATTTTCATTTTCTCACCTCAGTATCTCATTTCTGTATTATGTGGCTAACTATATGTGGAAAGTAAGAGTATTTTATGGAAAACCAGGCAAAATCCCCACAACTTAATGTTTTAAATAGTCCTTTTATCTTTTTTTCTCTCCAAAGAACTCACATCCTCAGAAAAATAAAGATACAGACTGCAGCTCTGAAATCTTTTAAAGTTGAAACATTCAATTTAACAGACTGTTGGGTTTGGATTTCCAGAGTATCGTAAGCAGTGAAGTACCTTGACTTCTAGATTTAAAGAACTATACTGTAAGAACTCTGACTTATCATTAGGCAGTTTTTATTAACAAGCAGTTAAGAGCGGCTCAACATCAGCTTGCATAAATGTTTAAGGAAGTAAGTTCTCAGTAACTCTAGCTACTGTAAGTATCTAGTCTGTTAGAAAACTGTTTTCAGTACAATGTTAGAACCCCTCAAAAAAACAGAATCAAGAAACAAAGGCACTGGCTGGATTTGACTGAACCAAAATCATTTATGCTTAGAGCTATGTGCATGCCAAACTTTAGGCTACTTAGAGATGAGGTAATACAATACTTAATACTTAACAGATTTTTACAGGGAAGAAAGAGTATTTCTTCTGGATAAGATCATATCCTGCTACATGGTTCATTTTAAGAACCGGTTTGACAGCCAAAAGATGGATTCTTCAGAAAACAGATGTCTGGAGGATTTTCTTCCTTACTGTAGCTAACTGACATGAAAGTCTTTGAGAGTTCACTGGGCTGGAAATGTAATTTCTCTCAAGTAATTATTTTAAGACTACTAACAAACTTTTCAAAGAGGTCACATCTACTTCTGTTTCATTCTAGGGTTTCTTGCCTGAATTAAAACAACACGATGGTGTTACCTAAGTTGCTTTTCTTGTTGCTTTTCTGACACTTGTTTTGGCTGTTGGCAAGCCCGTTCTGCCCATGATATCCAGGCAGAAAACTACTGAGTTTGCTGCTGAGTGCTTTTTTTACTTATTTACTCTACACTGATTCACCAAGGAGTAAGATAAGCACCCAAAGCAAGGCAAGGCAGATTGCAGGAGCACATGTAACTGGATGAAAAGCGTTAGAAAAGCTCAGCTGTACTGGGAATCCCCACTGTTTGCCTATACGCTGCCAAACACCTGAAATAGGCAGACATCAGTGTTGGAACAGGCACTGCGGCTGAAAGAAGGGGGTAGGAGTGCATGGCCAAGTATTTCGGGAGGCTGGAACACCCTTCACGGAGGCGGACTGCACGTCTGTCTTGTCAGAGCAGCCATGGCACTGCAGCCTAGGAAGGACGGCTAGTCTGCAAAGCTGTGCTGGGAGCCAGGGTGAGCTCACTACAAGTCTTGCTAGACTGAGGCAGCAAACATGACTGTACAACTATATTAGAGAACTGCACAGGAAAGTGGGTATTTACATTACCATTTTGGATTGCTTCTTATGTTAAAAGAAATGTCACAAGTAATAATGGAACATCTGTCTATATAATTAGGCGTATGAAATATCTTCTATAGAGAATTGACTATTATGGGAGAGACCATGAAGACGACGCTTATTAAGGAGGCTCTGTCAGATGGAGATGTACTTTTTTCACATTAATTTTTTTCTACTACAAAGATGTCCTCTTCAAACGTTCAATCTTCACAGTATTGCAAACACCAAAAGAAGGTCATTTCACTGGTTCAAAGAGATTCACAATGGCCCACTTCAGTATTATTCCCCCTACGAAGTGCTTATACAATCAATACCTGGGTTTTGTTTGAACTTAAGTGGGTCTGATTTGGCTTAATCATTTCTCCATCTATAAGCTACCACAGCTATCTGCAATAGACTTACAATGTGAATCAAACCTGATTTCTCAGATTAAGTTTATTACTCACTAAGCTAAATGAGATATTTTGTCAAGGTAACACCATTCTTTTAAATGCAACCTCTCAGAAGCTCTGAATGAAGAAATTAAAAGGTGAAAATGCTATTAAGTATCTACTTGCTTATGCTCTATCTCACTCCGCTCATCCCTTCCCCATATCATCTATTGTTCCCAAAGAGCAGGAGGGTTACAGGAGACAAAGAACATAACATCTTCATACATAACATGAAATAATACATAATCAGATCAAATTTCATTGTGGTAATTGGACCTACCACTCCTCCTTTCTACAAGCTGAAATCTTTTATTTTCAGTAATTTGGGGAAAAACAAACACGACAGCTGAGAGCTTGAAGCATGTGTGTTATTTTTCCATGGTAGAGAACAATGTATTTTTCTATGAAGGTACTTCACTATGCTGTCCAATGCAAAGAATGAAATACTTCATATATTATCTATGTATTTAAAGGATATTAGAGATGAAAGCTAAGATTTCAACCTTTTGTTTAAGATTAGTGACTAAACGGTGGCACAGGTACAAATTTAAAAGTGTTCTGAGTTTACAGTTATCCTTCTGAATATCCCACAGACTGGTGCAAGTAAAAGTTCCACTACATTTGACTGAGAAGCTTACAAAATATTAAAACGTGTAAGACAAAGTGTCTAATCATTCTGCATTCCATTTTATGCTTCTGCCAGCATCATACTGGAACATGGGATATAGAAAAGTCAGGAACAAGTTAACAGGAATGACTTGCACTAGTGATGCAAAATTCAGGAAGACTGCTTGTATTTTGACAAGAAGTTCAATGTGCTCACTCTTCCACAAAAATTGTACCTTTTCCTTCTTCTGTGTCTATGGAATTTTTTACCTTTTTTTTTTCCCCCTCCCCCCTTTTTAAAAAAAAAAAACAAAACTTAAGATTTCTCAGCATTGCTGCCACTCATCTGGCTCCAGTGTAGCAGGAACTAACAGAGTGCAGACGTAGATCAAATGACAGAAGCCATCAGCAATAATTTCTGTGCCATCAATAACAAGAAGCTATTAAGTTTTCCATTGGTGGGGTTTCCATTATAGATGACATGGAGCCAACCCAAAGGACAACATTCAGAGAGAAAATGACTCTTACTGGATAGACAGCAACAGACAATATTCAGTTTCCGAGAACACAAGGCTTCCAGTGATAACTTGCTTTTCATTGTCAACATATGGATACATAAAGGATAAGACTCCAGATCAGGTAAGTACAAATTTGATGACAGCTTAATGACAAACAAGAATGGCTCCCCACAGGTTGTCCATAGCTGCAACTGTTTAATTTAGCCAGAAACTATGGCTGTGAATTTGAAACTTATGACAAGTTTAAGCCAAAGACTACCACCAGTTGAGCTGCTATTGCTGTTCGGGTCAGGAGGGCAGGGGAAGTCAAACATGCCTGCACATAGTATTTGCCATTGCACTTCTTTTGATGCAGCTGGCTAAAGCAAATAGTCAGGTTTTTGTCCTCTAGACCTTTACTCTCAAGGCATCCGTATTCAGAACACAACTTAGATTTTTACTACTTCAAAATTTTATCCGACGTTGATAAATTAGTAAGGGTTCTTCAATATAAGGAGAAATTACTTCAGTCAATTTACATTCTATTTTAATGTATGCCCTTTCATTTAAATAAATCAATTTAAATATAAGGAAGAAATACACTGTGCCACTGTTTTGAAAATACACATTACCTTTTCACAGGCTCTGTCTGCACAAGTGCTGCATCTGTCATGGCTTTCATCCACAACTCCATTTCCTTCCCTGTATCTGTGCAGAAATAATACGTCCTCATGTTTGGATGAGCTGCCTGATTGGAAATGACATGGTCATTGCAATAAAAATGTAAGATTCTGTAAAAAGAAAAGAGGCAAATAATGTTACTGTATACTTGCTCTAAAATCAGATTTCTGCAAATAATATTATCAGAAAAAATATCAGAAGGAATACTTCAATGTTTCTCTGTCACTGCATTCATATTTTCAAAATAATTGCCTATAATTTTCAATTATAGCTGCCTCTTCATTAATACACTCAATAAAATGCCCTTAAATTTCCTCAATCTATTAAAAACTGTCTTGACTATCCATTAATGTAAATTAATATAATTATTATAAATAAGATTTTGGCATAGATTTTTGCAGTCTGAATGATACAGTAAGTTTTAATTTGTACTTACCATAGTAAAGAAATGATGTGTTGCTTAGGAGGCCAAAAGAAGAGCGAAAAGGAGCTCATCAAACAAACAAAAAAAAAAGTCAAGAGAAAATATTTAGTAGAGTGATTTATATAATGATTAAAAAGATTAGCTGTGAAACACTCCTAACAATAATTCATGTAATATTGTGATTTAAGTGATAATAAACCTTCGTTTTTATTTATATGTAAAGATACTTCATATCTAAATAACTAAAGAACTTTCATTAGTGGGTAAGTCTAGCTGCAGATACAGTTTATAATTCTTACACACCACACAGTCTTTAAGATCCATGAACTAAAAATAAAAGACTAATAGTAAGTGATATTCATCCATTTTCTTATTCTAGTAATTATGTCTATATTTACATCAGGCTAAATACTTGAATCCTCTGCTACCATATCATGCAAAAGTCAGTCTCAGAAGCTGTTTGTCAATCCTGTTTTGCATAACAACTCAGTAAAGAGTTCTGTTCACTAGGCTATTGTGCTTTCAGACATAAAATTAAACTGAAAATTTGATTCCCTTACCTTAAAGGCATATTTGCGGTTAATATGGTCCTCAGGAGAAAGCACAGATATCTGAAAACTAGGTAGAAGTATGCTACCTAGTATTCCTTCTTCTTTCTCATCTGTGAATGTATAGTCTTTGATTAGAGAAACAAAGTGTTTTGGCACATACTTCTTGTATTCAGACCCTTCAGTGAAACTCTGTACTTAACAACACAAGACCAGTAACAAGACATTTACCTCGGAAGCAAATGCATTAGAGAATCAGAAAGCCAGACTGATTTGTTACGTAGGTGTCTGTATACAGTCTCAGAAGTGTGCAGTCCACAAGAGCAACTGTGCGGTCCTTCTTTGCCAACACATGCCACAGAACCCACATCACACAAGTGTGCGATCCCAAAAACCTGCTAAGCACTGTGAAATCCAGGCCATTTGAATATGGCCACCCTCAACTTCTTCCCCAAGATGGACAAGCATAAAAAACCCTCCTGAGAGTGCCAGCTCTGCAAGTTAAAGTACATGGTCTACCTTATGGAAAACACCACAAATAGCTTCACCTAGAGTTTTCTGGGGAGCAGTGCTTACCTGCATATGACTTCAGAGCTGAAAAGTAGATGGAAGTCAAGCCTCTAATTCAGTGACAAGAGTAATACCTGCTATCTATTGCCTGCTCAGTAAAAACTGCAAATACTCATGAGAGCAGAAGTATTTTAAAATACTGTTTATGATTATTGGTCTTTGAGAAAATTTGCACGTTCCTCTTCTGGTATTGGGCATATTAAGCTACGAGGCTGTTATGATTCCCATGAACAGTTTACACTCAATTAAATTCTATTTGTAAGAATGCATATGTTTCAGATCATTTGTAAAAAGCAAACAAAAATCCCCCAAACCAAACACCCTTTTTGAGAATATTGTTTTTCCGTATAATTTTAGAACAATACATTACAATAATAAATCGACATTTTAATTGGAAGGAGCAACCAGCTTTTAAATCCAATTATACTTTAATAAAGGAATAATTGGATGCAATTCACAAAGTCAATCTTAACTGTATTTCAGACACAGAACTTCTATTTACAACCAGTATCTTAGGAGACTGTCCCCCATAACACTATACTTAGTTGAGGATACTGTGCACAACAAAGGACTACGTATCTATGAAAATAAGATGAAAACCTAGATACTCCAAAGTTTCAAGCACAGAAAATTTATACTGTTATGATTAAAATACATGTAAACAGCACAAAAGGACTACCTCTTATACCCAGATTTAAAAATCTTTTCCTGGTTCTTGTTTACTCAGTAAATTCTGAAAAGCCACAACTTTCATTTAAGTTATTCATATGGGGAAAGCTCTGCCCAGCCATATTAGCATTACACAACATGTTAGATGTAAAAATTATGCTTTCTTGGAAGGTTATTTAATTGGAGAACTGAGCATAAAATTATTCTGATTAAAAGGTAGAAAAGAAACGAAGAGAGCACATTTACTTTCAGGTACTCAACTGTACTCATAAGTATGCCTGAAACCATCCCATCTCTCCCTCTCAAATATTTACTCCTTGCTAGCCACACACACACGCACACACACACAGAGACACACACACTTCTGCCTTTTTTCCCCTGTGCCAGAATGCATGGCAAATGTTGGTGTTTACTTTATTTGGACTGATGTTTTGGGGAAAAATTCCCTTCTGCTAGATTATACTCTGACTTATGCCTAAGTCACACCCACTAGTGCATTAAGCATTTTTGTTCCACTGAACAGCTGCATGTCTGGAGGACTTTGGTCTTTGTTAAAGACATACCGCTACATTCCATTTCCAGATTTTTAACAATCTGTTTCCCATCAGACTAGCTTTTATCTACACATTACACTGCCCCATACCCATCTTTACTTGTATGCTGTGTATGCATAATACAAGAGAAAAATAGCAGATATTCTGTCCATTTCTAAGATCTTTTATTTGTTGCAACAATAGCCTTCCAATACGAAAGCGGGCAGTCTTTTATCCCTCTGTGAAACAGAAAGAGTATTCTCTAAGCTCTGAAAAAATAAAATGAAATAATTTTTCTTTTCATCTATAAATTAGATTTAAGCATTAGCTGCTACTACTGTAACACAATTGTAAAAGTTCAGTAAGATTTACTAACAAAACTAAAACGCAAAACCAAAAAACCCCCAGCAACCACAGCCGCATAACCAGAAACACTGTTTGCGATCTGGGAGTAAGTGCATGGCTGCCTCCTTTCAATTTTTTCAATATCTGAGACAGAATTAACAAAAAAAGAAAAGCACAGGGTTTAGAGTGCAAGTTTTGTGTATTTTGGTAGCCATTTCTAATACCTTTAAGACTATCATTATACATGTTTCATTACAGCTTATCAGCTTTAACTGCTTTCTAGTAAGTGAATGATAGCTAAAAGCTAAGTTTATCATGTAAACAATTCAGACTATTCTGCTTTTATTTCAGCTTATTTGGCACACTAACATGTAGAAAAAAAAATAAGATTATAGAGCTGTTTGGATTTATTTTATTTGTTGTTGGTTTTGCTTATTGCCTTTCTTGTTTTATTTTGAGATACTTCATGTGCAGTGCTTTAAGTCAATTTAATCTGTTCTTAAGGCAGCTAAAAGCAGCACTTTCTTTAGAACCTTTGGAAGAGAGAGCCTGAAGACTTGCTTAAAATAAGAAAATAAGAAAACCCTACAAGAAAGCACAGAGTATATAATGACCACTTAACTAAACGCAGTGTAATTGTATTACAATCGATGCCTCCATGACTGAAATCATAGCCTAATTTTGACTCAGCAGTGGTTTATCCAACTATATACACTTCTTGGGGTAAAGAAACAAAGTCTAATGATTATATTTCAATAATTCAGAATTTGTTAACTAAAACAGTTACAAAGCTTTTGTGTTTCATGACCTGATTTTTCTTGATTAGAATAGAATCATGCTGCACTTTAACAGAGCAGCATTTAAATTCATCTGTCACTGCTTTCAGCATCACCAGCATCAACACCACTTCTACCAATTCTAAAGTCTTATTCTAAGCTGAAACCCTTTCTTACCCTTCACAAGGCTGCAGATGGCCCTAACTGTTCATTTTCCTCTATTTTGGCATGCTTTACAATCCTCTTTGCTCTTGGCCTCCTTTAAACTTTTATGGTTGTACACCTTATTTCAGGATTGAATATGTTTCCGTATGCACAAGTCCCATTTGTTTATCCCCTCAGGAGCACTACAATTAATAATGTGTAATGGTGAAGGAATCGGTTTTCTAACATGCATATCTCCAGACTAGAATTATAAGCAGCTAATTTTTCCCATGTAAAATAAATCTCATGTAGCTACATAAGGTTGCTAACAGATTTCTTTCTTCCAAATACAGCAGAGACTTCTACTCATATGGAATTGGACAACATTTCACTTTATACGTATTCATGAACACTGATTAGATTCCCAAAAGGCATATATAACCCTCTTTATCATTCCAAAGGCAGAGTTTCAGCTCCCCTGCACTACCCCTCTTTCCTATCCCCATTTCAGATACTTCATTTGCATGAAAAATCAGATTTAACCTGGCATATTTGGTTCCTAACAACAGAAGCAGTGAGAAAACTGCAATCCAGAATTTAATAAAAGAGGTGGCTGTGAATGGGTTTGCTCTTTGAGCGTACCTTATAGGCAGGAAGCAATTATGTGAAATTGTTAATTAAGAAACAAGGGAGAAAAAAAAATTCACCCATTAAGTTAAGTAGCAGCTTCATTTTTCTTACATTTGAGTGTCAAAATTTATCTGCTTCCAGTAAAATTAGCAAACAAAGCTTTCCTGAGTGGAACTTACCTCTGTAGTAGAAGAGACACAGGTCCGAGAGCACAAACCACCGTTTCTTCCACAACTTCATTCCAGTACTATCCTGTATTAATCAAAGTGATCAAGTAAGAACTTTCAGACTGTTAATAGTAACAGTTCATAAAGGAAACCAGGTACCACATAAATGTGGTGGTGTGCTAGCAGTTCATTTTCTTGGCAAAGATAATTTAAGTATCTTTGACTTCTCATCACAGACTCGACACTGCAAACAAAGATCAGAACCCAGGAAGCCTGAAGTCAACATGATTCAAGAATCAATGAAATGAGAGCCCATTATTTTCGCATGCTAGAGACTACAACCGACTGTTAACTGAAAAAAATGTATACTTTTTTTTAAAAAAGGAAAAGATAAAGGTAATATTTGGGGTACATCCTCTGTTTTCTGAAGAAACTCTCACTGAACTTCGTCTTCTACTACCACTCATATTTCTTTGCCAAATAAAATTTCTTTCCCAAATAAAGTTTATTCCTAAAGTAATTTCATTTTCTTTTATGCTTATAACTAATTTACACTGCACAACTCAGAATGAAAGACTGCCACCACTACTGCAGTGTAAATAAGCCAGAGCATTGCAGCATGCACATCCTAGTAGAATCAGATTTAATAAATATGTTAATTTGTTCCAAGAAGAAAGGTACACGTGAATTATCAATATTCTTGTAGTATAAAGGTTTTGTGACAATCAAGAGAAGGGATTCTATAATGAAAAACTGTGGGGTGGGGTTGGTTTCGTTTTGGGGTTGTTTTGGGGTTTGTTTGAGAAAAGTCAACATAATTTTTAGCCTCATATTTCAAGCTCTACTCTTTTTTGGGGTGGGGGAAATGAGCTGAAGGAGGCAGAAGAAAGGGTAAAGCACGCATTAGCTAGGAAATATTATTCAGAAAAAGTTAAAAAATCCTTTGCCACAAACATTTTCATAAATCAAATAACTAAACACTTTATAGCACTGTCCTCCTGAGGACTTCAAAGTGGTTTAACAAACACTAATGAAGTCTGGAAGCACTGTCCATAGCAGTCAGCTCCTATTTCACAGCTGGAAAGGCAGACACAAGGAGGGGAGACTGCCTTCCTTACCTCACTGACAAGGTCACTGACACAGTAGCGGATTAGGATGCCAGACCCCTGGCCCAAAGGACACTGACCATAATAATCAACTGTATGATGTGAAAATACCCAAACTTCTTCAGTATAAAGGATTATCACAAACCCTCAGACAGACTTTCTGAAGAGGCTGTTATGCAACGCCACATTTATTCCATCACTCAAAAACACCAACAGGTTTCTACATGACCACCTATAAAATTCTGCCAGCAATGAGACATGCTAGGAATGATCTTCCGGCCTTCTTCAGACATAGCAGAGAGGCACACAAAACGATTGTGTGGTTCTCATATTTTAAATTCTTTCCTACTTTAAAGTACGTCCTTTTTGTATCAGTGGATTTACTAATTATTGTTCCCTCTTGATTGTGATTATGTCCTAATATGGTAACAGTTATGTTCACAGTAAACACCTTCCAAAAAAAGAGTTGACTCTCAACTTAAAAATTAGTAGAAAAGTGACAGAAGAATGGCATTACATGCAATGAAACAGCACACCCTGAGTCAAACAAAACTTGCTGTTCTCTGTGATTACACAAACATGTTAAGAAAGTTATCTTACTATCAAAAAGAAGCCTGCACAAGCGTTCACTGTAAGCTTCTGAAGATAGCAATCTGTCGGTAAAACTCTTGACTAAATTGGCTTTCAATTACTACTACAACATGGAAACATACAGCAACTCCTTTTCTTACAAAAAACAAGCAACACAGCATTTAAATCATTTTACACATAAACCCTGTCTAATGGTATGCACCATCATCATCATCAACAGCATCCAGAAAGCTATGTGGGTCATACCAGTCTATCGGAGTAGGGACACTAAATGACACTACAGATCCAAAATTACATATACACATTTGCCTCAGATGAGTTTAAATGACAGGTTTTTACAGGGTTCTTGGTGGATTTATAAAATATATTCCTAATATGGTGTAATCAGTTTTGCTGTTCAATTTTTTGATCCAATAAGTAGCTAATTAATTAGAACACCATGTGTCAGTTCCTCATGGTTTATAGCTTCACTCTGGTATTGCTATCATTGTATTTTATGCAAATGATTGTCTTTTGTACATTATACACCTTGCCAAAAAAAAAAGAAGGGGGTGAAAAGGGGAAGAGTACCTGTTTGTAGAGCCAGCCACGTCTGACAACTGGTGCATTAGGATTTCTCTTTATTGAGTTTGATCTCTTTCCGAAATTATGAACTTTCTTTGAAGAGCGTGATGTCTAAATTGAATTGAACAGGTTAAAGAAAACATGACATTATTATCTGTTGAAAAATCATAACACATTTTCTTTTCTTTAAGATCTTTTTCTTATACATGTTCCTCTGGGGGACTGCAGAATACAAACTGTATTCCTTTTTTAGATAGATAATTATTATGATGGTTCTGCTGGCTTCAGCATTATTTTTTTTTTCCTCTGCAGAAAATGTAAAGACAAATCCCAAGACAAGTACTTAATTTTTTTACTTTTTTTAACAAGAAAAAACAACCAAATACATATCTGATCTTCTTATAAGGTATGTAAGAAAGCCTACCAAGCTGGAGAAAGAGAAGTAAAATTAGCAGAACTATCATTAATTATGAAAAATTACATCACCTGGGCAAGAAAACTCTAGTCTTTCCTGCTTCCAACACTGGCCTAACAAATAAAAACTTGTTCAGTTTTCAACAAGATATAATTCAAAGGCTTCTCATTGAGTCTCCCCCTTTCCTAACATATATTAACTTTTTAAAATTCTTTCTTCCCCCCTCAAGAGCCCTTTGCTCTATGATCTCTTGGCTGGTTCGAATATTCATTATTTTACCTGCTTGCACTAAGGCCTACTTTGAATCTTTTGCCCATAAACTCTAGTGCTTATATCTGCTGTTGTTTAAACCTTTTACATCCCTACAGCTATGCAATGATCACAGATGATTACGAGAAGTAGCATAAATAACCCTTTTTAGATCTTATTCTTCTTCTACTTGAGTAACGGAAAGAAATTGGAAAAGGCATAAAGAAACGTGCAGTGCTTTGCCAATTCACACTTCATTCTTTTCAGCCTACATTTAGAAAGTTTGTTCTGCAACTGAGTTGAACGTTTACTTGTGTTTTAAATTCTGCAAGAATTGGTGCCTCACAGACCACACGATGTGGTATAGCAAAGTATCCTACTCCGCAAAAGAAGCAGAGTTCAAATTAGGTTTTTTTAAGCTGTGTTTATGGCTCTGCTCCAAATCCACCATTTGAACGGAGACAATATAATCCTCTGCTTCAGCTTCCCCATCTCTACTATTGAGACTAATCATAAAGTTATACAAAGTTCCTAAAGGAGGAAGACTAACAATCGGTTTTTGTTGCAAATTAGGGTATGGGGTTTCTCCATGGAAATTCTCTCAACACGCATCACAGAACTGAGTTGGGTTTTATACATGCTTCAGAGAGAATTCCACAGTAGGTTACAAATCATAAACTGAAAATTGCAATTTAAAATGATGTGCAGCTTTTGTCAACGATGCCATTAACTGAAGAATAGAACATAGCTTAGCCAAAAAGAATAACATTACAAGAACTATGTGTGTTTGTCTTAAGCCTACAACACAATGAAACAAGGTCATTTTGTATTTCTTTTTTTTGAAAGAATCAGAAGGGAATATAAAAACAAACAGTGCTTTTAATTTCCCTTAGAGATATGGAAATTTGACTCAACTCTGTTTGGAAAGCAAGATAGAGCAAGCAATTGGAAACCTAATTAAAAATAAAAGTAAAAATCTTTCACATTTTCATCTGAAAAATTCCACCAGTGCAAAATGGGCAGAGGTTTGTAAGAAGGCAAGAGAATGATGACATCCTGCTGTAAAAAAGGGATATAGAGAGAACATGTAACAATCCAGAGCACAGTATAAAATTAACTCTACATCTATCTCAGTTAACCTACATGGCTGCTATATTGGCATATCACACAAGACCTGTGCCAAGATTTTGATCAGAAGTAATTTATAACACACATACCTGCTCTAATATTAGGTATTAAAGGTTCAAAACCTCTCAAGAGTGTTCCAGACTTCCTATGCTTGGACAATGACTAGCACATTAAGGATGCTTCTGAAAACACAACCAACCACAAGTACTACACTAATGTCAAGTCTACTAACAAATTCAGATAAAATAGAGAGATACCTCTTAGAGAGGTTTGATAACAAACCATATTGACTCCAATTTCACAAAGTTTTAATGGGTTAATTATACATGTTACCAACTGTGATTATAAAGTTCCATTAATTAAACAGAGCATCACAAGTGCTTTCTAATTTTAGTTAATACGGAGAACGCTTTAGATGACTCGTGATTATTTTACCACACACTGCATAAAGAGAATAACTCTTCACAACGAATTCTGAGCCTCGAGACAGTGAGTATTTTAGGATATTGAAATATCATAGGTGTATATATAAACTAATTATGAGTTCTCAAACTTTTTAGATCACCTTCTCCTCTTGTTATGTCTGGGATCCCTGACCATCCCACGTTCTCTCACCCACACATCTAATATCTCAGACTGGGGCAACAGGGAGAAAGGAAAAAAAAATAAGAACTGAAAGGTTCAAATACTTTTTACCCCACAGCACTAAAAATACAGGACACATTGCATGGCTCCAGCTTCTGGAGAAAGCAAAGAGAAAAGGAGAATAGTGAATGAAGGGTCCAACTACTAATCACTTGCTGGAAGGTGTAGAAGGTAACAGAGCTGGCAAACTTATAGTCACATCTGGTACCATCTGACCCGTTCTCAGGAATGGTCCCAGCAACTGTGATGCCTCTGAAAACAGAACCTATGGGAGGGACCCTGTACAGCTCTGGTACTGAGAAAGAAGCCAGGAAGTCCAGCCAGGGATATTCA